TATTTATCTCTCCTCTCTCTCTTCCTATCTAACACTTCCACCATAGTTTCTCCATTTAAAGTGTCCCAATTTTCCCCATTTCTCTCTAGCTAATACTACTATCCTAATGTCTGACGTCTCATGAGCTCCTTCTTTTCCTTTATCCCCAAGGTTTCCTGTATAGCCTTCCCTCTCCCTCCAATTTAAATAACCACATTTTTATCTGTTTCTCCCTGAACAACTCCTATCTCCTACTGTTCTCTCTCAGGTTCTTCCTTTGCCTTTACCTCCCTGGTTCCTTTTTATTTTTCTGGCTGCTGTAGTTACATATGTGCAAAATATGTATCCTTATATTTAAAGACAACTATCCCAGTCACCACTTATTGAGGAAGCTTATTTTGCACCAGCCTGTCTATTACCTAGTACCACAACTGGTCATACACAGACATTGTGTATGAATTTCCCAAGCCTAAGCAACACATCTACAATGCAACCTCTACATCTAAGGTACATGGAACATAGAAAAGGGGCGATGAAGATGACACTAATGAGTCTCTCAATTCTCATTAATGAGAATCCCTGATACAACAGAGGGAAAGGAACATAAAAGGTTACAACTGGCCAAAACATAGATATTAATATTTCGCAGATGGCCCGTCCACGGACAGGAATCCTATATTAAACTTTATCCACCCACGGCTTAGGGACTATTAAAGAAGAGAGGGTGGAAAGATTTTAAGAGCCAGGGAGAAGATGCATGACCATGTGGAAACAAGAGTTCTCCCCACTCATATGATTCTATGACAATGGTGTCAGTATTCAAAAGTCCCACTCAAACTCAGACAGACAAAAATCCAGCACAGAACTGGGGAAATGTACAGCAGACCACAGTCTTAGCTGAGGAAACATTTTCAGCTGATTACTTCTAGGTGAGGAAGAGTTGATCTTCCTAAAACAAGACATTCTAGATAGGCTGAGTAGACCTCAGTGGATGGAGTTGCAAAGGGGTACATCTGGGGACCCTGACTTGACACACTGGACCTTAATATAGATGACAAAGTACATGGGTTCCAGTGGCAAGGCTGTGGGAGCATGCCAGTTAGGATGGGGGTATAAAGATGAATAAGAGTCTTTGCGATATTCTGTATAAAATACACAAAAAATTCAATAAAAACAAGTTTTTAAAAATCTGAAACACTCTTCTTGTGTAGTACTACTTTGCCTTTATTTTGAGGAAACCCTACTAATTCAGCCTCCCAAGTGCTGGGATTTCAGGTGTGGACCATCACACCTGGCTCAGAATATACATCAATGAAGACATTATGAGAAAATTATTGATGTTTCCTCAAAAACATTAAAAACAGAGCTGTCTTATGGTTCAGTAATCCTTCTGGGTATATATTCAAAGCAAATGAAGTCATCACATCTTAGAGATACCTGCACATCCATCTACATTGCTGCATTATCCAAATAGCCAAGGCAATGAGCTAATTTAAACATGCCCACCAGTGATTTGTTAAAGACATATCAAGTACATGTTATGGATACATACACAGTTATAGTCTTCAGACTTAAGGTATGTAGGCGTGATCTTATTTTTTTACAACAAAAATGTAAGAAACAATGAGTGTGGAGGATATTTTTGTAAGTGCCACAAGCCAGATACTGAAGGACAAGACCATTTGATCTAACTTTTCTGTGGAATGTAATCAAATCATACTTGTATGATGTACAGAATTGAAAAATGGTTGTGAGAAGTTAGAGGGTTAGAAAGGAAGCAGAAAAAGTATTGATGAAAGAGTAAAAATTTTATATACATAAGGAATAGATTTTGAGTCTACTCTACAGACAGGTAAGTACAGTATATTTGATGCATTTTTCCAAAATGTCTATAATAGCAAATTTAAACTTCAGATGGTAAAAAGGTCATAGATATATATGTACTTTGTCTTAATTACAATGTATAATTATATAAAAACATCAATTTAAACTGTATAATTACACACAATTGTTAATCAAATTAATACAGATATAAAAAAGAAAAATAAAATTAATAATGAATTTTTTTATACTTTTGTACCATAAATATACACAATTTTATCAACTACATCTTAACATATGTAGAATGTTAAATACAGAATTTATAAAATAAGGCAATAAAAACTCAGGTACATGCATATAAACTACTTAGCAATGCAGCATAAATCATGGTGATAATATTCCTGACTGTAATAATGAGTTTTTAATTGCATTTTACTTTATATCTTCAAGGTTGTAAAATGTAGGATTTAATTATCTCCACTAAACTAGAAATGTATATGTACTTTACTATACAGTGTAAATACTTTCCAAGTGTTATATAAAATCTAACAAACATGATCTCAACAATATTTATTTAGAAGCTAACACATAGTGAAAAATTAACCCAAGTTTTAAAAAAATATTTAATAAGTGGAAAACATTTTATGGTTGCACACATTATTTACTTACTAGTTAATATAGAGACAATAATAACCTGAGGAAATTTTCAAAGTATCTCTGAATCATTCCTTCCCCCCCAAATATAATATTAAACTATTCTGGTCAGCGAGGAAGTACTATACAATATTATGGTCATGTTTACCACAGAATAAATAAGCATGGATGTAATTCCATATTTAAACTTATAAAGTAAAGAAAGAACAAATCTGTGATTAAAAGCAAGTTGTACTTTGTTAGAAGTCAGTAGCCAAGGTATCAGATACATGTCTCTCAAAAACATTAATATTATTAAAAGTCTAACAATAGCAAGCAATTCACATCCCAACATGCAGCCTCCTTTATCTCTCGATTGCCTGCATAGGCCGACCAGGCACAACTCAAGCTCTCACATCAATGTAGGGCAACATTTCACATTAAGATGGTGTTTGTCTCTATTACTCTGGTTTGAATTCAAGTTGATTTCTGATTTATATCTCTGTTAATACTAGTGACCAAACAAAGCAGTGCCTGCAATCGTGTTTTTATCAGTTTGTGTCTGCTACAGCTCAACACAGAAAGGGAATCTTAAGGTGAATTACTATAACTTTTATACCCTTTTCTTGAGGTTTTAGATGCAAATGCATGAAAATTATGGATTTTGCTTTGTGTATTTATTTGTAATAGACACTTATGCCACCATGCATGAGGGGTTAGAAGCTCCAATGCATCCGTAATGGATGTGGCTATGCTTGAGTAGTTTTTTATGTTAGAATGTGGGAGGATGATACAGACCCTCCTCTGGTAACACTATTATTTCATAAACAAAGCAATCATGTTCTCTGGAATGCAGGGTTTTCTGATATCCTAGCATCTTGGCAACTCTAATATTATAGGTCTAGTATATATTGCCATAATGTTCTTTGGACATATCAACAGTGCTCATTTATCATAAGCTACACTTCTCTGAGTACTTTAAAAATATTTAGTAATACTCTTATGATGTGACAAACTAGTTTTAAGATATTTTAAAAACATAGTGATGAAATGCACAAAATCTTGTTTAAGTTCATTATATTGCCTATTTTTTGTGTGCTTTTTCAGACAATGGGAAGAAAGCACCAGTCAAATCCAAGGGATTTCGTATGAACAATGGAATACTGGGGGTTTTCTAATATAAATTATAAAAGTGCATATTAATTTTTTATTTTGATTGACAATTAAATAAGGAAAGATTTGTGGAATCTGGTTTAAATACACGGATATATATTGAAAATTTTAAATGTAAACTTACATGTTGAAAATTTAAAAATATGCACTATTTATTCACAGTGTCGTTCACTGAAAAACAAAGTATTCAAAAAATAATTAAAAATAGGATGAATGAGTATTGGGGAAAAATAAGAGTTCTATCTAAATTGCTCACATCACCTCTTTTACGCATTCTCATGAGTTCAAGGCACTTTATTGGACTCTAGCCCTTAAGATACTTAAGAGCACCAAAATCACTTTTTGTAAGTTATATTAGCACAATCAATAAGTATAAAAATGAATATAGTTTATTCAAAGTGATCACTGATATTATTTTCCTTTCTAAAGACAATTTCAATATAAACAGCATTTAATTTAACAGATACTATTTTGTTAATGTCAAGGTTTGGAATTGCTCAAGGGGAAATAGAAATATTTTGTCAACCAGAGTAGTTCAAAGAAACCCACTAAAACAGCTTGTTTCTTTCAAGCATTAGAGTGCTTCCAGCATTAATAGTTCATATTATGTATTGAAAATGATGTTATATTTCTTTCCTTTTTCATAACATATGGAGTAATTATTTTAATTTCCATTCAATGACTTAAGGTAGAAGACCAAATTACCTTAGTCTTTTTATTCATGCAGTTATGAAATCTCCCATTGTTGTGAAATCTTCCAGTTATGAAAATGTTTCAAAATTTATTGTAACAAATATTTTATGATACTCCTATTACAGATAATAAACCCAATTTTGAAGAAGTATGTGATTCAATGATACATCACTGCATCACTATATTTCATATCTCATACGACTGACAAACCATTCAACAAAATAACTCTGTAAGGACTCCAAACTTGCCATACAGATCTGAGACAGGAAAGTACTTAATGTCATTAAACACATGAGAGAAAAAGAGAAAGAGAGTGAGACAGAGATGGGGAGACAGAGACAGAGAGACAGAGACAGAGAGAGACACAGAGAGAGGCAGAGAGGGAGAGAGATATATAATATGAATTCTAAGGCGGTTATTACCAAAAATAAAGATGACTTGGCTGGTCCAGTATTTACAATTAAATATTTAGAAATGAAAAGTCACAATTTTCAGGATGCATCATAAATATAAAGCATTGAAATGTTCCCAAACATCCACTAGATGTCTCTAATATCTGACTGAATTGCTATATCCCTTCTAAAGCTGTGAGTTAAATATTGAAAACTGAACTCAATGTTCATTTTGATTTTCTTAAAAAAATTTGCATTTTTCAAAATAGATAGTTATTCTCATTAACGTGCAAATTCATCATGACTCACATTCAATGTCAAGGTGCATGCTCTTTTGGTGCCCTCCAATTCTGCTTGCAGCTTCACAGTCATATCTCCCTGAATCTGACAGCTTCACATCTTTGATATGCAGGGACGAGTGTCCATGCTGTCCTTTGACTTCAATGCGGCCATCTGGGCTCTGTTCATATGGATTCAGGAAAAAAGAAAATTTTACTTGTGCTTATGCAAAGGGATGAGCAAATTCATGATGTTTGCCACATATGTGTATTAATGAAAAAGTACTGAAACCATATTTTTAAAAAACATAAAAATAAAGTTTCTGTATTTTTGTCTTACTGGTTTAGAGTCTGCATTTTACCTGCTCACCTGCTCACAAGAACACTGACATATTGTCATCACTTTGACAAATATTTCATCAATAAAATATATTTATCTCTTTGCTTTTTAAAAGTATTCCATGTTCTTTATTTCTGTAAGGATTTTGCTACCATCCATTTATATTTCTTGCAAACATAAAGCAACAACATTGGTGTATAACAACCTAACAATAAAAATGATGTTTTTTGCATTTTGCTTTTATATTGTTTTTTTTTAAGTATAAAGACATATGACAAAGCCCTTAAGAAGAATACTTGGTATTTGTTTTTCAGTAAGTAAAACAGAATTGCCTGTCAGCAAAGTTTGTACTTTGTGCACCATATTGAAATTATTCAAATACAGTCATCACTGAATAAGTTGTACTTTGGAAGTAACTGGAAACAATACAGAGACAAAGAAACACCAATTTCAGAAATATTCTTATAAACCAGTAGAATATAGATTATGTTCCCAAAACATATTGCTATCTACAATTTAACTAGCATACCCATGATTTTCTTTAATTATTTAAATCTTCATAAAAATTTTAAACAAAAATATGTACATTGAATTTTAATTCAAATAATCAGCAAATATGAGATTCTGATACTTACAAAGAAACACCAATTTCAGAAATATTCTTATAAACCAGTAGAATATAGATTATGTTCCCAAAACATATTGCTATCTACAATTTAACTAGCATACCCATGATTTTCTTTAATTATTTAAATCTTCATAAAAATTTTAAACAAAAATATGTACATTGAATTTTAATTCAAATAATCAGCAAATATGAGATTCTGATACTTTTTAACTCATTAGAAATATGCATTTAACAATTTTTTCTGTTTTT